TAGCTAGGATTATAGGCTTGAGCCCAGCTTTACTGTAAAATTTTGAAAGATTACCTGTATTTAAAAATCTGTGTTCTGGGCTGGGAACTGGTGGCTCATCCCTGTAATCCTAGCTACTCAGGAGGCTTGACATCTGGTTGGCAGTTCAAAGCCAGCCCTGGCAAGGAAGTCTTATGAGACTCTTATCACCAATTAAATACCCAAAAAGCCAGAAGTAAAGCTATGACTCAAATGGTAGAGCACTAGCCTTGAGCACAAAAGCTCTGGGACAGCACCCAGGTCTTTAATTCAAGCCCCAGGATGAGAATAACAACAACAAAAACCTTTGTTCCAAGTGGCCAGCTACTCCAAAAGCTGAAATCTAGAGGATCTCTGTTTGAAACTAGCCTGGGAAGAAAAGTCTACAAGATTCTAATTCCAGTTTACAAGTAAAGTGCCAGACTGGAACTATAACCCAAGTGGTAAAGCACCAGCTGTGAGCAAAAAGACAAAGGAAAGAATAGGTTCTGAGTTCAAATCTCAATACCAGCACACACAATTACAAATCTGTATTCCAAGTTCAACCAAAAATTAAAGTTATTTGATTCCTATTTAAAGTTCTCAAACTACAGAAATTCCAAACAAAGTCCATCTGTGTTGATAAAAATGAACAATTTCATAAACCCCATTTTTCTCTGCATATAGCCCTCCTCCCAAAAAATTCAAACGTATTCCAATACTAAAAGCACTGAATTTAAAAAAAAAAAAAAAAAAAGCAAGCTGGACACCCGGTGGCACACACCTATAATCTTAGCTACTCAGGATGCTGAGATCTGAGGATCATGGTTCAAAGCCAGTCCGGGCAGGAAAGTCCATGAGACTCTTATCTCCAATTAACCACCAGAAAACCAGAAGTGGCACTGTGGCTCAAGTAGTACAGTGCTCACCTTGAGCTAAAAGCTGAGGGACAGTGCCCAGGCCCAGAGTTCTAGGTCCATGATGGGGGGGTGGGGGGGAGGAGGAGGGAAACATCACTATTTTATTATCTATTATTCAGAGGTTTGGTATAACATTTTGCCATAGTAATAAGTTATTGTGAAACTTATTTCAAGTTGCCAAATTAGCTAATACATATTACAAAAACAAAAATTCATTTATCAACAATTTTTTTTGATGCTGAGGATCAAACCCATAGCCTTGTTCATGCTAAGCAAACACTATTTTCTTTTAAAACTATCCCATTCACTGGGCTTTGGTGGCTCATTCCTGTAATGCTAGCTACTCAGGAGGCTGAGATCTGAGGATCATAGTTCAAAGCCAGACCGGGCAGCAAAGTCCGTGAGACTCTTACTTCCAATAAACCACCAGAAAACCAGAAGTGGCTATGTGGCTTAAAGTAGTAGAGCACTCACCTTGAGCTGAAGAGCTCAGGACCAGCGCCCAGGCCCAGAGTTCAAGCCCCATGACCCACAAAAACAAAAACTAGCCGGGCGCTGGTGGCTCACGCCTGTAATCCTAGCTACTCAGGAGGCTGAGATCTGAGGATCGCGGTTCAAAGCCAGCCGGGGCAGGAGAGACCGTGAGACTCCTATCTCCAATAAACCACCAGAAAACCGGAAGTGGCGCTGTAGCTCAAGTGGTAGAGCGCTCACCTTGAGCTGAAGAGCTGAGGGACAGCGCCCAGGCCCAGAGTTCAAGCCCCACGACCGACCAAAAAAACAAACAAACAAAAAAAAAACTATCCCATTCTTAAAAAATAGTAGCTATCTCTAACCTGTTTATAATATATTAGCATGTATAATCAGTATGATCAAAAAAGCTACGCAGGGCTGGGAAGATGGCTCAGTGGTAGAGTGCTTGCCTTGGATGCAGGAGGCCCTGCGTTTGATTCCTCAGTACCACGTAAGCAGAAAAAGCTGGAAGTGGCGCTCTGGCTCAAGTGGTAGAGCACTAGCCTTGAGCTGAAGAGCTGAAGGACAGCGCCCAGGCCCACAGTTCAGTCCCCATGACCGACCAAAAAAGAAAAAAAAGCTATGCAAACAATGAAATACCCCAACTTCATCTGGCTAACAAATTTCCCTACTACAGGACATTTTCCTTTCTAATTAAAAAAAGTAGTTTCTCATCTTTTCCTTTTTTTTTCTCTTTGCCTGAGACCCAGCATTTTACTAGTGGAGAAACTTGTCTTGGTCTGTCTACCTGAAGGCACTAGAATAATTGTTCTGCTTTTGGTAAAGTTTGCTGACATCTTTGTGTGAAATACTTGCAATTAGTTAAAAGCATTAAATATTTCTGTTATCTAATAACTAATCAATTTCTTTCATAATGAGACCAAATGTCATGATATGCCTGGATAAACTCAAACACTTATTTTATGTTAACAAACAGTTCCAAATTCTCCAAAAGTCTATATTTTCTATAATATAGATAGAGTGCTTCCCAGGTTTGAGTCCCATCATGGTAATTAGCAAAAAAAGTACTGAGTTTAAACCTGAGATACTATCTTTTCATTTGAATGTAACGTTTTATTACTGTCAAAGTACTCCAAGACTATTAAAGCCCTCTAAACCAATTGGTTCTTACAAATTCCTTCATGTATAAAACATTAGAATTATAACCAAATTAACAAATCAGATACCAGCATGCCAAAAATTAAGTCATTTAAAGGGAATCTAGAGAAAGAGCCAGTTGTGAAAGAACAGGAAGTGATCGCTGCCATTTTGTAGATGAACTATTTAGGAACACAAGAAGTGCCACACTAATCTGGAATCAACACTGGCGAGCTCTGAATATTCTGACAATGGCACCAGAGGTTATCTGAAATAACCCTTAGACAGTTTTTCCTTCATAATGAATTTATCCTTTTGATCATCAACATACTTTTATCAATTTTAGGTAGAGTTCTGCCAACTATGGAAAAGCTTTGTTGTTTTTTTTTTATCTGTCCTAAACAACAGACCTTATATGCTGAAATAGAGCAAGTAATTGCCTATATCCTATGTACATCCTGAATTTCTATAGCCTTTATGGATAAATTCTCTTTGTATATCTTTCTAAGATAAACGCTGTTACTTTACTGAGCTACATGCTTAGGTTTACACATGCAAGTATATATTAATTCATTCCCAACAACAAACCATAATACAGAGAATTAGGCTTTGTGACAGTTTAGATGCCTAGAACAACTCTACATATTAAAGTGTACAACTCTGTTATGAAGAGTCAAATTCAATAAAATGAGATGAACATCAAAAGAAATAAAGACATAGAGAATTCCATTTGTGAGGAAAACATAATAAAACTGCAACAAAATCATGAAATTATATGACAGAAATTAAATTAGTGTCATCACTATTGCTAACATCTTATTCAAACAGGTTTCAAAATGCAACACACCAATAAAGATATATTCAATAGGGGCTGGGAAGGTGGCTCAGTGGTACAATGCTTGCCTCACAAGCATGATGCCCTGGGTTTGATTCCTCAGCACCACATAAGCAGAAAAGAGCCAGAAGTGGTGCTGTGGCTCAAGTGGTAGAGCACTAGACTTGAGCTGAAGAGCTCAGGGACAGCACCCAGGCCCAGAATTCAAGCCCCACGACCGACCAAAAAAAAAAAAAAAATTAAAAATAAACTCAGTAAATCTAAACATTTAAAAAAAAAAAAAAAGGATATACATCAACTCAAGACTACTTTTTTGGTCTCAAAAGCCATTTGGCAACACACTTGCTAAAATCGTTGTATTTAGTTATTTTCACTCTACTAAGAATAAAGCCAGTAATTACCGCAAACCAGGTCAGTACAGAATATAGATTATCAGACCATAAGACTGGATGGAGGAATTGTTTAAGTGGTACAGCTCCTGCCTGGCAAATGAAAACCCAAGATAGATAAGATAGATACATACATATAGATATGTCATAATTGGATAGATTAACGTTTTGCACTTTCTTAAGAAACAGCACTCGCTACAGAAAAGACTGTAACCTAGTAATTTTTATAAACTTTCTATGTGTCATACAAAATATTAACCTTAAAGTTTCACAATCCAGGGGCATGTTCATCAGTATGTCTGTAATCATCTTTAATAATTCTTTAGAAAGCCAGACAAAGAAAAAAAAAGGGTGGATAGAATGAGAAGATACAAAGTTATTCTATGTTAAACCTAACGAAAATTCAACTTGCTCAAAAAAAAAAAAAAATCAATTCAGATCTCTCTCAAAAAGAGACACCAAAACAGAAAAGGGATCCTTTTCCATAGGGCATATATATCATCCCCAACAACAACAGATGCAAATATATTTCGCATGGACAGATCTCTGGGGAAGAGCATGAAAGTTACTGTTATCGATTGTAAAACCAAAGGAAAAGGAATAACCTTTCCAAAGGAAACGCCATTACTTCCCTCTCCTGTTCCCCCTCCCTTTAGTGTATACATAGATCGGTGTCTGAAGAAACTGACTTGGCCTTCTGCAGCATTGCAGTAGACCAGAGGATGGGAAAGGGGGAAGGGGAGAGGGAGAGAAATTATTCAAGCACCCCTTCAGAAAGGGGTATAGATTCCCTGAGTGGAGGGTGGAGGGGGATAGTAGAATCCACCCAGCTGGCTATCCAGGGCAGTCTTCCTTCCCAAGAATGCAGACAGTACAAAGGAGAAGAAGCAGGGAGGAGCAGAGGACCAGAAGGAAAAGGGACCTCGCGCCTTTAAATCGGAGTGAACATCAACCTAGTCTCCCAACTAGGGCCACACCTTCCTAGAAACATCCCCTTCCACCACCCCTTCCGGTGACCCTCAGGAAAAAGGAATTTAATTGCTCTGGCCCCTTTCAAAACAGGAGGGCGCCCAGCACACCAGCTTCTACACCCCACCCACAGAATCACAGACCCTCCTTGTCTCCCTCCCCCCCCCCCCAACGCACACACCCCACCCCCACATCCCTTCTTCCACCCAGAGGCCTGAGTGGGCCGAATTTCCCCGCCCCCCTCCGAGTCTCCTTTTCCCTAGGCAGAGGTGCCCTTACCCTTTCCGACGACAGGTCTGCGGCCGCCAAGGCAGGCGCAGCCCCCCGTAGTGCTCCGGTGGCAGCTAGGCTGGAGGCCGCGGAGTGAGGAGGGGGTCCGGCGACAGACCGCCGCCCCCCCACCCCCGGAGCCCCAGCCAGCCGCCCTGCCCAAGCTCTGCGACAAGGGGCGGGAAGGGGGGGCGGGGGGGCGAAGGGACGACTCGGGTCGAGGAAGCGCCCTCAAGCCCTCGGGCTCAGCTAAGATGGCGCGGGGAAGTGCCGGGAGCTGCCGCTGCCGCCTCGGGGGAACCGGCCCGGGCCTCGGCCGCCTCCGGTCCTCACACAGCCGAGGCCCTCTCGGGCCCCCGCCGCGGCCCGTCCGCGGGCGGGCCCCCCACTCAGCCCTCCGCCACCACCACCACCACCCCTGGGAAGGGGGCGCTCACAAAGGGAAGAGAGGCCGCGGGCCGGGCGGCGGGCGGCTGGGGCGGGGTCCCTGGGGGCCGGGAGGCCTCAGAGGTTCCCGGGTGCTTAAGCGCTCTCGGCCCGTCAAGGTCTCAGGGCGAGCGGGACCCTTCCTCTCTCCTCAGGCAAGCGGCGGCACCGACTCACTCTCTCTTGCCACCCTCCCTCTCTCCTTCCGAGCCCTGAAGCCACAGAGCCCGGCCGCTGCCCTGTTCCCCCCCTTTCCCCGACACCACTCCCCTCCTCTCGACAGTCATCCCAGTCTCCAATCTCGCGAGATTTCCCTCCTGACAGGCCCGACCCTGCGCGAGACACGACGGCGTGCGTGTGCGCGCCTTTGCGGGAGCGCGCGAATCCTTGAACTGGGCGGAGCCGCCTGGGCGGCCGGAGTATTTTGCCTCCGCCCAGCCTCACCTGTACTCTCGCTCGCGGAGCGGGCGCCACGCGGGCGTCAGGTGCATTCGTTTCTCCCTAGAAATCTGATGGAGGAGACCTTATCTGCATTCCACCAACTTCCTTTTTCCCCCCCAAAGCATCAGCCTCCTACTAATCCGACCATTGTGAAACTTTGCCCTGAAGTGTAGAATATTCCATTCCTACACCTCTTACTCTTCCTTAGTTCACCTCTGTGGAACTTAGAGGTGAACTGGGCAGCATAATCAGTAAGGAGTTGAGCTTGTGAGAATCTAATAGTGTAGTACTAATTTGGGGGAATGGTAGTAAGGTTTGAAAGTACATATTAAGACACCTTGTGTCTTCCAAAAGTTGTGCATTTAGTAGGTTGAGTAAAATAGTTTAAAATTAAAGTATCCTGATTTATCCTTTAGGGAAAAAGTAGAATTTATCTCATTTCTTTTTCCTCCTCCCACCCCCGTTTAATATCGGATCTGGGCTTGAATTTAGGGCCCCGGGCACTTTCCCTGAGCTTTTGTGCCCTAGGAATGTGCTTTGCTCCCCTAGTTGAGCCACAACTCCACTTCCGGCCTTTTTGGTGCTTAATTGCAATATGGGTAGAGTCTCATGGACTTTCCTTCCTGATCTGTTTTGGACTCGTGATCCTCAGACCTTAGTAGCTAGGATTACAGGAATGAGCCACAGATACCTGGTATATCTTACTACTTTGTGGCAGGGGATAAAACTTTTATAGTATTTCTACAGAAGAACAAAAAGGAAGAAAACAGAAGAAAGAAGGAAGGGAGGGAGGGAGGAAAGTTAAAGTAATCTTAAAAATTGTGGTTCATGGGACTGGGAATGTGACTTAGTGGTAGAGTGCTTGTCTACCGTGCATGAAGCCCTGGGTTCGATTAGTACCACATAAACAGAAAAAGCCGGAAGTGGAACGGTAGCTCAAGTGGTAGAGTGCTAACCTTGAGCACAGAGAGGCTCAGGGACAGAGCCCAAGCCCTGAGTTGAAGCCCCAGGACCAGCCAAAAGAGAAAAAAAAAAAAAAAAGAATTATTCCTTATGGCCTATATTTGTCAAACACTCTCAAATGGCAACTTCCCCTCAGCATAAAAAAATCATGCCCTAGGGGCTGGGAAGGTGGCTCAGTGGTAGAGTGCTTGCCTTGCATGCATGAGGCCCTGGGTTCGATTCCTCAGCACCACATAAGAAAAAAGAAAAAAACCGGAAGTGCCGCTGTGGCTCAAGTGGTAGAGCGCTAGCCTTGAGCTGAAGAGCTGAGGGACAGCACCCAGGCCCACAGTTCAGTCCCCAGGACCGGACCCAAAAAAAAAAAAAATCATGCCCTATTGCCTATATTCCTAGCTGCTGAGACTCTTCTACTGACCACTCAAAAATGGAAGTAGAGCTGGGCACCAGTGACTCATGCCTATAATTCTAGCTAAATGGAGGCTGAGATCTGAGGATCAAGGCTCAAAGCCAGCCCAGGCAGGAAAAGTCCATGAGACTCATCTCCATTAAACCAACAGAAAACTGAAAGTGGTGCGGTGGCTCAAGTGGTAGAGCACTAGCCTTAAGCTGAAGAGCTGAGGGACAATGCCCAGGCCTAGAGTTCAAGCCCCACAAGGAAGGGGGAAAAAAAATAGAAGTAGAGCTATGGAGTACTTGCCTTGAGGGAAAGAGCTCAGAACAGGGCCCAGGCACTAAACTCAAACCCCATAACCAAATTAAAAAAAAAAAAAAAAAAATTCATGCCCTAGTTTTTCCTTGAAGGGAGGAAGGGTGGTTACTACCTTCATTTCTCTTCCCCTTCACAGCCCAGGTTCTTGGGAAACTGATTTTGCTGAGGATGCCCTTCATTGTGAAGTCATTTAATCCTTTCCCTTCTATCATCTGAAATATTTAACATAGTTGACATCCTTCCATCTCAAAACTGCTTTTCAGTACCACTCAAAACCAGTTTTCCCTCTACATTTCTTTCCTGGCAGGGCCCCTCTTCCTTCATACAGCACTGCTGCCCCTCCAATTCTGATAGGTTCCAGTAAGAAATTGTTATAACCAGGGATAGAGCACATGCTTAGCATGTAGGAAGTTCTGAGTTCAATTCCTAGCATCACACCTACCTTCCACCCCACCAAAAAAAAAAAGATGAAAGAAGAATGTCTTCTTCTCTTCAGTTTTTCAAATATTGGGGATGGAGATTCAGGCTTTCCCATGTTTTATGGAAAATTTCAAGCATATAAAAAAGGAAAAGGATTAGAATAGAGTAACAAACTTCCATGTGTCCATGACCCAATTTCAACTATGTCCAACATTTGATCTTTGTTATTTCACTTGTTTTCCCTCAAACCTTTCCTCTCCATAACTCCCTGGGATATTTTTTAAGTAAATCCCTTGTAAACCATCATACTTCACACGTACAGTTTATTGAGTGTCTCTTTTATTGTAACATAACCATAATACCATCACACATTTTTAAAAATTAATTCCTAGCTGGGTATCAGTGGCTCACATTTGTAAATCCTAACTATTAAGGGGCTGGTATGTAAAGTTTGGTGGTTCGAGGCCAGCCATGACAGAAAAGTTCTCTAGATTCCATCTTCAAAATAACTAGCTAAGCTGGGCACCAGTGGCTCATACCTGTAATCCTAGCTACTCAGGAGGCTGAGATCTGAGGATTGCAGTTTAAAGCCAGTCTGGGCAGGAAAGTCCGTGAGGCTCTTTTTTGTTTTGTTTTGTTTTTTGGTTGTTGCTGCTATTGTTTTTTTGTGGGTCGTGGGGCCTGAGCTCAGCCTGGGTGCTGTTCCTCAGCTCTTCAGCTCAAGGCTAGCACTCTATCACTTGAGCCACAGCACCACTTCCAGCTTTTTCTGCTTATGTGGTGCTGAGGAGTGCTCATGCATGTAAGGCAAGCACTCTACCACTGAGCCACCGTCCCAGCTCCATGCGAGACTTTTATCTCCAAATAAAACCAGAAGAAAACCAGAAGTACACTGTGGCTAGAGCACTTTTCTTGAGCTGAAGAGCTGAGGGACAGTGCCCAGTCCCAGAGATCAAGCCCTACGACTAATAAAAAGCAAACAAAAAGCAGGATTAGAAACATGCCTTAATTGTTAGAACTCCAGTTGAGCAAGTGGGAGGCCCTGATTTCAAACTTAAGTATTGCCAAAGAAAAAGAGAAAGCCAGGAGCTGGTTACTCACGCCTGTAATCCTAGCTACTCAGGAGGCTGAGATCTGAGGATCGTGATTCAAAGCCAGTCCAAGCAGGAAAATCTGTGAGGCTCTTATCTCCAATAAACCACTCCACTCAGAAAACTGGAAGTGGCACAGTGGCTCACGTGGTAGAGCGCTAGCCTTGAGCTGAAGAGCTAAGGGACAGTGTTAAGGCCCAGAGTTCAAACCCTATGATGGACCAAAAAGAAAAAAAAAAGAAAGAAAGAAGGAAAGGAGGGAGGGAGGAAGGGAGGGAGGGAAAGAAGGAAGGAAAGAAAGAAGGAAGGAAGGAAGGAAGGAAGGAAGGAAGGAAGGAAGGAAGGAAGGAAGGAAGGAAGGGAGGGAGGGAGGGAGGGAGGGAAAGGAAGGAAGAAAGAAAGAAAGAGAGAGAGAAAGAGAGAGAAAAGAAAAGAAAGCATTGCTAATAGCCAGGTGCCAGTGGTCAATAACTGTAATCTTACCAGCCTAGCAGGATGAAATCTGAAGATCAAGGTTCAAAGCCAGCATGGGCAGGGCTTGAACTGGTCCTAGGGCTTGAACTCTGAGCCTGGGCATTGTCCCTGAGCCTCTTTGTGCTCAAAGCAAGTGCTGTACACTTAAGCCACAGTGCCACTTCTGGCTTTTCTGAGGGGTTACAGTTACATAAGTTTACTCTCATCTCTAACCACAAAAAAAGCCAAAAGTAGAGCTGTGGCTCAAGTGGTAGAGTGCTAGCAAAAAGGTTACCAGGTTCCCAGAACACTCTCTCTCTCTCTCTTTCTCTCTCTCTCCCCCCCTCTCCCTCTCTCCCCCCTCTCCCTTTCTCCCCCCTCTCTCTCCCCCCTCTCGCTCACACACACACAGCACCATTAGTAAAGACTGTAAAGCTTATGAATTATTTCATTTTGTTATGCATGCTTGTGCTGATACTGGAGCTTGAACTCAGGATCTACCTTTGCTTAGCTTTTTCCACTCTAAGCTGATGCTCAACCACTTGAACTATACTTTCACTTCTGTCCTTTTCTTGCTTGTTAATTAGAGACCGGATTCTATGCCCTGGCTAGCTTTGAAACATGATCCTCAGATCTCAGATTCCTGAGTAGCTAGGATTATAAATTGACCACCAGCACCTGCCTAGTTATTTCATTTTAAATAGAGCTAACATTTAGAGTTACTTTGGGCCAAGCAGTGCATGAACAAAATATAATCCAAAAAAGAAAAAATAGCATCCATCCATGTAAAGAAAATTTTTATGATCATGCCTGGAACAATTGCAGATAATGCAGTTCTGTGGGTTTACTTCTTGACCATTTCTCTTTGTGCCTGCCTTGATCCACTCTGCTTCTGCTGTGGGTTCATGCCTCAGTTTCTCACCTGACATTCTATAATTACATTCTAACTACACTCCTTGCCTGAGCCTTTTCCGTACATTGTTAGTTAATCCTCATGACTATCAGGTAGGTAATATTATTATTACCTTCATTTTATAAAGAAACCCAGGTTCAGAGAGTTATATCATATGCCCCAATCATATAATGCTAAGAGGTGAGCTAGACTTTGAACCCCATTATGAATGAATCTATAGCACACTCTCTTCTCCATATTGTACTTCTG